CGCTAATGCATATTGGCGATGAGTGTCCGTCGCCAATGTAAAACATTGGTGACGGGCTATTGGTGACGGGTCATTTCCCGTCACCAATGTTTGTATTGGTGACGGATTCAAAATCCGTCACCAATACTCGTCGTCAATACCATGTTTTCTACTAGTTCCTAAAAATTTGATAATCATAAAAGAAGTGTTCAAAATTGTTTTAAGAGTGTCAATACAATGTCTTACTATCGTTGAGATCATTTTCTAGATGTTTTTAGTTATGATTTGATATCAATCTAGAAAAAAAATTAGCCTCACCAAATGTTGCAGTGGAGAAGGTCGGAGTGCCATCGACAGTATTTGGTCTACCAGAAACCACCGTCATATTCTTTCCATCGCCAGTAATCAAGACATTCCACTTTTTCGTCTTAACCCTGACATTCTCATAGTACACCCATTTCTTCACATATATCACCGTCCTCTTATTGCTCTTCCCAGCACCGCCTTCAACGCCGCCTTTATCGTCTTGCACTTTCCTGTTTCGTCCTTCGCAACAACAACATCTGCATCCTGTCAAGGATCACTTGATATCTGCAGCAACCTCCGCTCCTGAGTCGACATCCATGATGGAGTTGGATTATATTCGTTGCTCAATAGCCTCCGCAATTTGAACGATCTGAATAGATTGTGTAGGTTCGTGAACATCGCAAGGCTGTTACTGGTAAACTCGGTCGAGTTCCTGATTAACACGGTCGATTTGTTGAATCCATCGATGCAAGTTTGCTGGTTTGTAATTGCTGAGCTTAGCCACGTCTTGATTTCGTTGACGAGCTCCTCGCTGCTGAAATCGATGGAAGATGTTACACAATCGTTTATGTGATCTATCGCTAGCTCAATGAGCTCGTTGCAATTAGCAACGGCTAACGAACCAATTGTGTCATATGTTCGGAGACACGAAAATAGTCCGAAAACCTATGTTAGGCCGTTGATTGCAACTTGTGGTGTAAGATTGAAGAGCTTGACCGGGTCGAATTCGGTCGAGTTGGCCACAGAAGAAAGGGAGTATATGCATGAGTTAGGGTACAATGTGGCATCTGTTTTTGACCCGATTCGTTTCTAAGTTATATATAACCCTAAACTTGATTTGTTAGGGTTAAGTAAGGACGAATTTGAGCAGTCTTTGAGAGAGGATTGTTGCATCCAATTGTGGGAGAGTTGTGAGAGATCAAGAGCTTTGTTTTAGGGTTTGATCGGTGAGATTTGTAACTTTACTTGTATTCTCTGATTTCTAATAGAAAGAACTCTCCCCTCCTTGCCCCGTGGACGTAGGCAACTTGTCGAACCACGTAAATTGTTTGTTCTCGCTGTGGTTGTGTTTTGCATATTAGTTGTGGTTTAGTTCGAGTTATTGTTCGTGTTGTACAAGAAAAGCTTCCGCCGCGCACAACAGAAGAATCAGAGAAAGAGAAACTATGCAAATGCCAAATTAAGATTGATTAAATCTGTTCACTCTCTATTACCCGTTAATTAATTGACAAGTTGAATAACGCAATCTATCATTGGCATAAATCAAATAGCAACACCGCCTAATTTTGGAGCTTGAGGTGAACTCGCATTAATCACGATTATTATTCAGGAATTCTATTTTTAACTTAATTTGCAAATATGTTAAGTGCTTTACCTTTTTTTTATTTTCTTTCTTTTACAAGTTTAGATGTTACTATATATGGGGTTAGGTCTTTGAGCTTGAAAACGAATGCAAACAACTCATAATATAGTTGCGAGCATCATGAGCATATTCGGATTGACGCGCTGAGCTGTTGCAATTATATTTTTCGTTGTGACATTTTGCGTCCTCATAACACAGGTCGCAACTACATGCGAATGACATTAATATTGTGGTGCTAAAATTAGCTAAAGCACCCTAAGCTGGCTAAGCATATAAATAGCTGATATATGCAATTAATTTCTGACCCATTCCTTCGTGGATGTTCTCCAGACCAAAAACCGAATCCTTTTCAGCTCATAGCCAACTCTCTATTGCTGAGCTCGCTCTTCACGACTTCGTGGATGTTCTGACCCATTCCCTTAATTGACGTTGAGAAGGGTGAAGCATTAATGTTGTTGCCGTCGGAATTTGAGTCATCGGAGGAGTCATTGTGATTTACGGCAAGGATGGACATAACGATGATGGCAACAACGGGCGGAGGTTGGCTTGATAGGGGATTGAGCTTGCCGTAAGATCTCATAGAGGACATGGCTGAGTTTGGGGTTGAAACTTGTAGGATTTGGTTGTGTACTGAGTTTAGTGGGAATTGAAGAGGGAGATTTTTGGTTTTTAAGCTCGTACTAAAGTAGTGGTGCTAATGTAATTTAACGTACGTGCAGGTCCTGACTTTAAAATGTACGTGCGGCCCCGTTTGGCAAAAGAAGCTCGTACGTACGTGCAGGTCCTGACTTTAAACTTATGGGGTTGCTAGCCAAGATGTGGGTCCCCTTTCTTCCGTAGAACTAAGCTAGCATTAGTCTTACATGATCATCCAAACAACAAACCAAGCTAACTATAAACCATAAATGTGCTAGTATATTATTCCCAGATCCATCTGGACTCACAATCCAAGGTAATAGGGGAACCCTGTGGACCCCAACCACTCTGAACCAGTAATCAAGCTCCCAGCAGCAAACTGTTGGGCCTCAGTAGAATTATAAATAACCCTATACCCAGTCCAGTTAACTCTTTGGGCCGTATCAGCACCAGGCCCACTGTTATTATACTCACCGTAATACAAAGTATCCAGTGCAAACCGCCCATCCCACTCATGCCACCCTGCTGGATGGATAACTTCAGTGATATTGGACTGCATAATCACTGCCCTCGAGTACTCTTTCCAGGGCCGGCCCAAGTACGACGGGTTCAAGGATTTGTTAAACCCGGGCTCCGCCCCAATCCTACACCGATGGATCGATATGGCCGTGGGCTCATCCGGGTCATTGCGCCCTTGGGCCGTGACCATGTTTTCCTGGCCCGGGTTGGGCTGACGAACTTGTATGTCGCAGTCTTGGAAGACGACGGCGGCGTTGCCGAAGATGAAGTCGACGGTCCCCCGGATCAGGCAGTTGCGGTAGAACTGCCGGCCGTGGAAGGCGTACAGCGTGTCTTGGTAGCCCAGGATGTCGCAGTTGTAGAAGGCAGAGAAGTTGGCCTTGACGCGGAGGGCCACCGCCTGGCCCTTTGACGGGCCGGCGGTGTTTTCTATCGTCAGGTCGCGGGCGAGGAATAGATCTCCTTCTACAGCTGCATCGGCCAATGCAACAAGTTGTTTATTAACCGAGATGTTTCGCATGAGGCGCAGCAGTTTGTTTTGCTGCAAACTATAATAATTAATAAATGCGGCAGTTGCATGGCCAACTTGAGAAGCAACCAATTAATGATCCAGTTAAAATTTTGAACGTAAATCACAATTAATGATCCCCTTAATTAAATAGCCTCACCCCTGACATTGCATGATCCTAATGTCACGTGGATGGTGCCTAGCTAGCGAGCCCAAAGTGTAAAAGGTCAGTTGTTGCTGCTTCCCTATTTGGAGGGGCATATACTACGTACATTAATGAGTAGTATCAACATGAGGTTTGAAGTTTGGGCAAAATGAAGAGGACCACGTTGATGGCGGGACAGGTCGGCGTGGATTGAAGAAGCATGAAAATTGAGGAGAAAAACTGGGTATGGAGGTCCCTAGCTTGGCCTTGCTAGTGGACTGTTATACATGCCAAAAGTTGAGCTGGTGAATTACTGAACTGATCATGTCCTAAAGGATGAAGGCTTTCAGATCTTGGTCTCTTTAAAATATATAAACAAACGTAAGATGTTACATTTTTTGACTAGGTAAGATTCAGTATAGGGAAATGCGTAGTTTTTCTTCTTCTTTTTCATATGAAGTGCTTCAAGTGCAAGAACAATATTTAACTCATGAGTTCGAAAATTGTGGTGAGCATATATAGCCCTTAATTTACATTTTTGACCTTTATATTTTATGCGAAATATGTATTTATCCCCGCGGAAGTTAAATTAATGAACAGGAAACAGCGCTACGTACTAACCCAGGGTTGCAGTCTGGAAGGTAGAGAGCCCATCCGCCACGCTCCTGTTCCCACTAATGACCGTCCTCCCCCTCCCCGCCCCCACAAACATCAGATTGACCTTCTTCTTCCCAACAAACACATACTCGTCATACCTCCCCTCCTTTATCTCGATCACATACCTACTCTTACTTTTCTCCGGCGCCGCGTCCACCGCGGCCCCCACCGTCCTAAAATCCCCGCTTCCGTCTGCCGCCACCGTAACGTTGACCTCCACCTCCGCCTGCTCCTCCCCTTCTAACCTCTCCGTCCATTTGGTTGACGGCAGCCTAGAAGCCTGCACCACAGTAGACATTTTTTTTTAAATTTTTTTTTTCAGAAATTGACGGTGGTGGGTACACGTTAATTATCTCTTGTTTCATTAATAATAACTTAATTAACGAAACATTAATTCCTACAAAAAGAAAAACTACAGGTTGAAGTAGAAAGATACAAATAGTAATGAACAAAGGGATTTTTAAGTTTTACCGACCAAAACTTATCCAAAAATTCTAGAAAGTTTAACTTTGATATTGCCATTACTAAATGTTTGTTTGTTTGTTTGTTTGTTTTTTTTTTTTTTAAGAAGAATATACTTTAGAGTGTTATAGACTTTGGTACGTATATATTCAAATAACACGTAAATAGAAGATGAAGAGGCACCGTACGAATCACAAAACCTCGACATTGGAAAAAAAACATAATTAATCCTGGAAATCAGAACAAAACAACAAAAAGTACTGTAGAGAACACACCGGAGACGTCCCATTTCTGACCATCGCCAGAGAGTTGGCGCACATGCGTATCACGTGATCAATGCCCTCGAGGACCCTCGCCCGCAGCCTACGATCAACCTCATCGTGCGAGAACCCATCAATGCACGTCTCGTGGTTGGTCATGGCGCCACTAATGAGGAACTCGACGTCCACGGCATCGAACCTCGAAGCACCGACACCGCTTTCGGCGAGGCGAAGCTCCTCGAGTGAGTCCTGGAACAAGTAGATGCAGTCCAGGAGGGCATTGCGTTCGCGACGGGTGAGAGTCGCGGAGGAGAGGGAGATGGTTTGGAGGCGGGAGGAGGAGTTTTGGATGGAGGAGACGGCGAGGTTAAGAGAGGCGTGGATGACGTCATTGTGGGAGGAGAGGGAGGGGAGGTGAGGGGAGGCGGAGATGGTGGAGTAGCAGAGGTCGGGGTGGCGAGCGGCGGCGCAGGAGGAGAGGAGGATCGAGTGGGAGGTCGTTGCTGAGAGATTTGAGGTGGGGTTCTGGAGGAGGAGGAGAGGGAGGAGATAGAGGAGCAGGTTCATGGTTTGATTTTGCTGCATGCGTGATTGAAGGATCATGGCACGGTTTTATAATAAAATTTTAACGAAACAAGTTTAAGTACCAAAACAAAAGAATTGGCATTTTGTTGGATGTAAACTACAGTTCACATTTTTGATGTAAAATGTCACATATTATGTACAGTTTCTTCACAAAAAGAAAATTTAACAATTTCTTTTGTCTTCTGGAACCCATTTGTCAAAACGCGTAATATATTTATGGTACCATGAACAAAAGAATGAGACCTACATATTGCGTATAAAATGAAGAAACACTTAGTATGGAATCCACTATTTTTAGTTAGTCTACAATGCGTCCCTTTCGTTATTTGGACACAAACGAATTTTTATTTGTTGTCATACCCTATAAATAAAAGTAACTTGTTATTGTGATTAAGCGCAAGGGAATGCCAGCTTATGTCAATGTCTTTGGTCTTTAAATCAATCCTAATACTTATCTTTTACTCATTTATATATAAGATTCTCGAGCACATCCTAAAAATTTGAGATTAAAAATTTTGTTGTTATTTTCGAGCATATGATAGATTGATAGTGTGGCGAGATCGAATTTTGATTAGAACCACAAACTAACATTAATTGATTCAATGCAAATTTATAACAGATAATAAGTTTGGCTTTCCAAATGTAAATTTTAAGATAACACTAATATCCTATATTACACTTTCTAAGTTAATTAAATTTGGACACCTTTGATGAATATGCACTATGAATAAAACTTATGCATAGAACTCGATCTTATATTCATGCATAGTTAATTTAAACCAACTTTGGTTTAGTTTCGATCATATGTACTTCAGTTAAAGATGTTATTAATTGCTTGAGAATCATACATGAATTAGAGATCTGATAAAAATAAAACAAGTTATCAATTAAAAGTAGAATTAAATCTAAAGTTAAAATTTCATACGTGAATTAAAGATATGATAAAATTTCATGCAAAGGGATTACCATCATCAACAATCAAAAGTAGAATTAAATCTAAAGTTAAAATCTCAAGACACCATTAAGAAATATTCCTCTTGCAAATAAAAAACCCTCAACCCGTAAATATCTCATCCAAATTATTTATTGATAATAATTTATTGATAATATTGTTAAAAATTAAGAAAGAATAAGTAAACTGGGTTTATCATATCATTCAAACTATTAATTGATAGTAAAATATGAATGTTTAAAAAATAATATTTTCTATTTAATTCGTTTATTTGCATAAATTTCCCTTAAATCATCGTATTCTCAAAAACACCCTGCCTCATCTGAGTTTTAGGTGTATTGATAATCAAATTGATGCTCAAAATGAAAAACCCTGAACAAATAAAAATCTCAAGACACCATTACAAACGAACCCATTTCAATTTTCCTCTTAAACATAAAACCCCATATAGATTTGACAAAATTAAACAACAATATGTTTTAATCCACGAGAAATACCTCGGTGGCGGTGGCGAGTAATAGGCGGAGCGGCCTGTTAGACCCTAGAGCGGGGTTAAGGGTCTTATGCTAACCTAATCTGATTTTATGCCAATTAAAAACTAATTAATAAATATATTCTTGCAAGATGATATACAATTACTTATGAGTAAGAATATGCAATATACACAAGGTGATATATCCTAGCAAAGAGATATACTATATGATATATGCAAGGATATACAAACACAAGGGTAACATAAACAAATGTAAACAAAGTAGTGGACAAACTAGATAAAGAGACAATGACGATATGAGGAATGAACAAAAATACAAATGAACGCCAAAGCACACTCAAACATAATCAAATGATCGCGGAATTCGGACCTTCCGTCCTACGTCTCCGCTCCCCACTCCCGAGGAGAAATCTACTATCACAATCGGGTTTTTTACGCTCACCTGAATAACATTTATACCTCACAATTTCACTCACCGAGTTCGGTCCCCACGACAAGGCCTGTCCATCCGGGCCGGCCCGGGCCGGGCAAAACCGGAGCCCGGACCCGGGCCCGACCGGGCCGGGTTCCGGGCCGGCCCGGGTTTTTTCTTTTTTTTTTTAAATTTTTTTTTTCAAATTTTTAAATTTTATTTAAGTTTTAAATTATAAAAAAAAGACAAAAAAAATAATAGTAAAATAATAATTTTATTAATCACTTAAAATAACATAAATTACAAATAAAAAATTATAAAAATAAATTCTTTATTAATAATTAATAAATCATTTACAAATTACAAGTATAAATTTATTTTGGAATTCATCGCATCACAAAGTTATAATTTAAGAGAGAGAGAGAGAATCGCATAAGTAACCATGTAGCCGTTGCTCGTTGGGCCAATGAGGAAGTAATCGTTGTAATATACTATACTTATATACTAAGAGAGAGAGTATACACACACACATATATAAAAGAGTATACTTATATAATAGGGAGTATACATATATAAGAGAGAGTATACTTATATATACATATATACTAAGAGAGAGAGTATATTAGTATATATATATATATACACATATATTATACATATATAAGAGAGTGTATACTAATATATACTTATATAAGAGAGAGTATACATATATAAGAGAGAGTATACTTATATATACATATATACTAAGAGAGAGAGAGTATATATATATACATCGCTAATGCATATTGGCGATGAGTGTCCGTCGCCAATGTAAAACATTGGTGACGGGCTATTGGTGACGGGTCATTTCCCGTCACCAATGTTTGTATTGGTGACGGATTCAAAATCCGTCACCAATACTCGTCGTCAATACCATGTTTTCTACTAGTTCCTAAAAATTTGATAATCATAAAAGAAGTGTTCAAAATTGTTTTAAGAGTGTCAATACAATGTCTTACTATCGTTGAGATCATTTTCTAGATGTTTTTAGTTATGATTTGATATCAATCTAGAAAAAAAATTAGCCTCACCAAATGTTGCAGTGGAGAAGGTCGGAGTGCCATCGACAGTATTTGGTCTACCAGAAACCACCGTCATATTCTTTCCATCGCCAGTAATCAAGACATTCCACTTTTTCGTCTTAACCCTGACATTCTCATAGTACACCCATTTCTTCACATATATCACCGTCCTCTTATTGCTCTTCCCAGCACCGCCTTCAACGCCGCCTTTATCGTCTTGCACTTTCCTGTTTCGTCCTTCGCAACAACAACATCTGCATCCTGTCAAGGATCACTTGATATCTGCAGCAACCTCCGCTCCTGAGTCGACATCCATGATGGAGTTGGATTATATTCGTTGCTCAATAGCCTCCGCAATTTGAACGATCTGAATAGATTGTGTAGGTTCGTGAACATCGCAAGGCTGTTACTGGTAAACTCGGTCGAGTTCCTGATTAACACGGTCGATTTGTTGAATCCATCGATGCAAGTTTGCTGGTTTGTAATTGCTGAGCTTAGCCACGTCTTGATTTCGTTGACGAGCTCCTCGCTGCTGAAATCGATGGAAGATGTTACACAATCGTTTATGTGATCTATCGCTAGCTCAATGAGCTCGTTGCAATTAGCAACGGCTAACGAACCAATTGTGTCATATGTTCGGAGACACGAAAATAGTCCGAAAACCTATGTTAGGCCGTTGATTGCAACTTGTGGTGTAAGATTGAAGAGCTTGACCGGGTCGAATTCGGTCGAGTTGGCCACAGAAGAAAGGGAGTATATACATGAGTTAGGGTACAATGTGGCATCACACATTGCCTTAATTGACGTTGAGAAGGGTGTAGCATTAATGTTGTTGCCGTCGCAATTTGAGTCATCGGATGAGTCATTGTGATTTACGGCAAGGATGAACATAACGATGATGGCAACAACGGGTGGTGAGGCGACGCCTTGTCTTTTGGCGAGCCTCGAGGTTGGCTTGATAGGGGATTGAGCTTGCCGTAAGATCTCATAGAGGACATGGCTGAGTTGGGGGTTGAAACTTGTAGGATTTGGTTGTGTATTGAGTTTAGTGGGAATTGAAGAGGGAGATTTTTGGTTTTTAAGCTCGTACTAAAGTAGTGGTGCTAATGTAATTTAACGTACGTGCAGGTCCTGACTTTAAAATGTATGTGCGGCCCCGTTTGGCAAAAGGGTTAATGAAGAGGGTTAAAGAGAATGATTAATGTACTTAGCTCATTTGATAATCCGAATGACTAAATTATTAACACATTAAATAAGTTTTATTTTAGCCCTTATGATCAGTTTTAGTGTTTGGGAATAACAATGATTTTGACTATTTTCTTTATAATTAGAAGGGTTAACTCTTATTCCATCTAAATAGGAGTATTAGTAAACCCCTCATTTTGAGGGGTTAACTCATTTTAACCCTTTTAGAGGGGTTAACTTAACCATTCTATATTTTTTATGTTTGACAAATTATGGAGGGTTAACTCACTTTAACCCTTATATAGATTTGTTGTGTTTGGCGGGTTAAGAAGGGGTTAAGTCTCATTAACCCCTCACTTAACCCTTTGCCAAACGGTACCGTAGTGAATAGGCGTACGTGCCCGCACATTGGCAAAGTTGAACTAGACCCCCATTGGAGTCTGAAGTCGGATGAGATTCTACGTGTCAATTGTGATCAAATCCTCTCTCAATTCAATTTAGTTCCATTTTTAGAAAAAGGAAATCATACATATGTACTATGTCGAAAGTATAAACTTTTTTATAAAAATCTAAAGAGCTGCATGAAATCTTATGTATACCTAATCTTCTAGATATGTGCGGATAATTTGAGAGTTGTTTTTTATTAACTATAAATTTACAAGCAGGAATTCTATCTAAATGCCCTCACTCGGCGTTCTGTGCCCACCTGTAGTGTCCCGCTCATAAACCAAACCAACATTGAGCGTACCTCGAATGTACCTCAAAATCCATTTCACAGCGTCCCAATGACCCACTCCTGGATCGTGCATGTATCTCGATACCATGCTCACCGCCCGTGACAAATCTGGCCTTGTACATACCATCGCATACATCAAGCTCCCAACCGCGCTCGCATATGGAGTCTTCGACATCAACTCACCTTTTGGTTTAGAGAGAGGTGGTTTGGTCTTTTCACCACTTTCCTTATTTGGCTTAGTGAGTTCTGCACCGTGGGTGATTCTGATAGAATTCTTACTCTGAATTAACAACGTACAAGAAGTAAAGTTCCAAATTGCTCAATTATGTTAAATGAAGCCTTCTCTTGTTTTCCTTTTCCCCCCTTTTAGTGAGCTAGTGAGGTTAAATGAAACCTTTTTACTGCAGCTACCATGCATTAGTTAGTCATATCTAAACTTATGGTGTTGCTAGCCAAGATGTGGGTCCCTTTTCTTCCGTAGAACTAAGCTAGCATAAGTCTTACATGATCATCCAAACAACAAGCCAAGCTAACTAAATCATAAATGTGCTAGTATATTATTCCCAGATCCATCTGGACTCACAATCCAAGGTAATAGGGGAACCCTGCATAAATGTGCTAGTATATTATTCCCAGATCCATCTGGACTCACAATCCAAGGTAATAGGGGAACCCTGTGGACCCCAACCACTCTGAACCAGTAATCAAGCTCCCAGCAGCAAACTGTTGGGCCTCAGTAGAATTATAAATAACCCTATACCCAGTCCAGTTAACTCTTTGGGCCGTATCAGCACCAGGCCCACTGTTATTATACTCACCGTAATACAAAGTATCCAGTGCAAACCGCCCATCCCACTCATGCCACCCTGCTGGATGGATCACTTCAGTGATATTGGACTGCATAATCACTGCCCTCGAGTACTCTTTCCGGGGCCGGCCCAAGTACGACGGGTTCAAGGATTTGTTAAACCCGGGCTCCGCCCCAATCCTACACCGATGGATCGATATGGCCGTGGGCTCATCCGGGTCATTGCGCCCTTGGGCCGTGACCATGTTTTTCTGGCCCGGGTTGGGCTGACGAACTTCTATGTCGCAGTCTTGGAGGACGACGGCGGCGTTGCCGAAGATGAAGTCGACGGTCCCCCGGATCAGGCAGTTGCGGTAGAACTGCCGGCCGTGGAAGGCGTACAGCGTGTCTTGGTAGCCCAGGATGTCGCAGTTGTAGAAGGCAGAGAAGTTGGCCTTGACGCGGAGGGCCACCGCCTGGCCCTTTGACGGGCCGGCGGTGTTTTCTATCGTCAGGTCGCGGGCGAGGAATAGATCCTCCGATTTCTTCTTCTCTGGCGGCGGGTGCCCTAAAATCGCAGAGGCGATTTTTTCTCCAGCTCTCAACGGGAATTTTGAGGGAAGATTAAAAGAGAGATTAAGACGAGAGAGAGGAATTAAAGTGGGGTTTTAATTGTGGGATATTTATTCTCAAGTGAGAATTGAAAGGGTTCATACCCTTTGATTATTAGCACTGTAGCTACAGTGTTTATTTGAGAAATCTTAGTTTTGAGATATGCTCCTAAATTATAATTTCTTGTTTGATTAATAAGAAATTATCTGTGTGGCTCCCAAGGACGTAGGCAGTTGCCGAACCTCGTTAAATCTTGGTGTACTTTTTCTATACTGCGTTTCTGTTGCATTAGGGGTTTCAGCGTTAAATTCCCAACAATTGGTATCAGAGCGTGAAACGATCTAGAACAAGTCAGATTCAAGTGGGAGCCATGGCCACAGATGAGGCAAAAATAAGACTTGAGAAATTTGATGGATCAGATTTTGGATTCTGAAAAATGCAGATAGAGGATTATCTGTATCAGAAAAATCTGTATCAACCACTATCGGGGAAGAAGCCGGATTCTATGAAGGAAGAAGAGTGGAACCTTCTAGATAGACAAGCCCTCGGAGTTATCAGATTGACGTTGACTCGCAATGTTGCATTCAACATAGCAAAGGAGAAGACCACGGCAGGTCTTATGGCAGCTCTCTCAATTATGTATGAGAAGCCATCAGTTGCGAACAAAGTTCATTTGATGCGGCGGTTATTCAATCTGAAAATGGCGGAAGGCGCGTCAGTAGCACAACACCTCAATGAACTTAATACGGTTACAACCCAATTGAGTTCAGTTGAGATTGAGTTTGATGATGAAGTTCGGGCGTTGATCCTTTTGTCTTCCCTACCAGATAGTTGGAACGCTACAGTCACAGCTGTGAGTAGCTCGTCGGGAAAGAAAAAGTTAAAGTTCGGCGACGTTCGTGATTTGGTTCTCAGTGAGGAGATCCGACGGCGAGAGACTGGTGAAGCTACAACCTCTTCAGTATTGCATACAGAGTCAAGAGGTAGAAATTCAACCAGAGGAAACGGACGAGGAAAATCAAACTACAGAGGTAGATCAAAGGACAGGAGGTCCAAATCAAGGAATCCAAGCAACAGCTCGAAGGCTATCGAGTGTTGGAATTGTGGAAAGACCGGGCATTACAAGAATCAGTGCAAGAGTGCACAGAAGGAGAAGGAGGCGAAGGCAGAGGTGAATGTCACATCCACTTCAGGAGGAGACGACGCATTGATATGCTCTTTGGAGAGCAAGGAGGAATCTTGGGTGTTAGATTCAGGAGCGTCGTTCCACGCTACTTCTCAGAAAGAATTCTTCGAGAAATATACTCCCGGAAATCTTGGATACGTATATCTTGGTGATGATCAACCATGTGCTATTATGGGCAAAGGCGTGATGAAAATTAAGTTGAACGGGTCAGTATGGGAGCTGAAGGATGTTAGGCATATTCCCGACCTGAGAAAGAATTTAATATCCGTAGGCCAGTTAGCTGGCGAAGGATACACCACAACCTTCCATGGAGATGATTGGAAGATCTCAAAGGGCGCAATGACAATTGCCCGAGGCAGAAAGACTGGTACCCTATATATGACAGCAGGTACACATTGTTTGATCTCAGTTGCAGCAGGCAATGAGACTTCAAAGCTGTGGCACCAAAGACTCGGTCATATGAGTGAAAAGGGGATAAAAATCATGCACACAAAGGGAAAACTCCCAGGACTGCAGTCAGTGGAGATGGATATGTGTGAAGAATGTATACTTGGAAAGCAGAAGAGAGTCAGCTTTCAGGCAAGTGGCAGAACCCCCAGGAAGCAGAAGCTAGAGCTCGTTCACTCAGATGTTTGGGGACCAACAACCACCGTGTCCATTGGTGAAAAACACTACTTCGTGACTTTTATCAATGATCACTCTAGGAAAGTGTGGGTCTACTTTCTGAAGCATAAGTCAGAAGTATTTGATGCTTTCAGGAGATGGAAAGCTATGGTCGAGAATGAGACCGGTCTGAGAATAAAGAAGCTCAGGACCGACAATGGCGGTAAATATGAAGACACCGGATTCAAGAAGTTCTGCTATGAGCACGGGATCAGAATGGAGAGAACCGTGCCCGGCACGCCTCAGCAAAATGGTGTAGCTGAGCGGATGAACCGAACGTTGACAGAGAGAGCCAGAAGCATTCGAGTACAGTCAGGCCTACCGAAGCAGTTCTGGGCAGAAGCGGTCAACACAGCAGCTTACTTGATCAACCGAGGTCCATCGGTTCCATTGGAGCACAGAATACCAGAGGAGGTATAGTGTGAAAAAGAGGTAAAACTCTCACATCTTAAAGTTTTCGGTTGTGTAGCTTACGTGCACATTAGTGATCAAGGCAGGAATAAACTTGATCCCAAGTCAAAGAAATGCACTTTCATCGGCTATGGTGAAGATGAGTTCGGCTACCGCATTTGGGACAACGAAAACAAGAAGGTGATTAGGAGCAGAGATGTGATATTCAACGAGAAGGTAATGTACAAGGACATGGACAAGACAGATGACTCAGAGAGCGAGTCAATATTTGTAGATGCAGATGATGTCCCGAGTAACCTCTCGGAAGAACCCAATGCAGAGGGTCCTCAGTAAGAAGAGCATGTTGGACAAGATGGTGCGCAGGAGCCCGACGCACCAGCTCCGATATTAAGAAGATCTTCTCGTCCTCCTGTACCCAACAGGAGATACATGAACTATCTGTTGTTGACAGATGGCGGGGAGCCTGAAAACTTTGATGAAGCTTGTCAGTGTGAAGATGCGAGCAAGTGGGAGCTTGCAATGAAAGATGAGATGAAGTCTCTCATATCAAACCAGACGTGGGAACTAGCTGAGTTGCCCACGGGTAAGAAGGCACTCCACAACAAATGGGTGTACCGGGTGAAAGAGGAGCAAGATGGTTCCAGAAGATATAAGGCCCGGCTAGTTGTCAAAGGTTTCCAACAAAAGGAAGGAATTGACTACACCGATATTTTCGCTCCCGTGGTGAAGCTAAATACTATCAGGACCGTGATGAGTATTGTAGCAATTGAAGATCTTCATCTCGAGCAGTTAGACGTGAAGACGGCGTTTCTTCACGGAGATCTAGAAGAGGAGATATACATGCACCAGCCAGAAGGTTTCTCAGAAGAAAAGAAGAAGAACCTGGTGTGCAGACCCAAGAAGAGCTTGTATGGTCTGAAACAAGTCCTAAGGCAGTGGTACAAGAAGTTTGACGGCTTCATGCACAAGGAAGGTTTCCAGAAGTGCAACGCCGACCACTGTTGCTACTTCAAAATTTATCAGTACAACTATATCATCCTACTGCTGTATGTTGATGATATGTTGGTTGCAGGAGCAGATATGGAGGATATCAAGAGTTTGAAGCAGCAGCTGTCAAAAGAGTTTGACATGAAGGACTTGGGTCCAGCGAAGAAGATCCTTGGAATGCAAATCACGAGAGATAAGAAGAGAGGTCTCTTGCAGTTATCTCAGACGGGATACATCAACCGTGTTTTACAGAGATTCAACATGGGCGATGCCAAGCCTGTGAGCACACCCTTGGCCAGCCATTTTCGTCTGTCAAAGGATCAGTCTCCTCAATCAGAAGAAGAGAAAGAGAGTATGGCTCAGGTTCCTTACGTCTCAGCTATTGGAAGCTTGATGTATGAAATGGTCTGTACAAGACCAGATATTAGGCATGCAGTGGGAGTGGTCAGCCGGTTTATGTCGAATCCAGGAAAAGCTTATTGGGAAGCGGTCAAGTGGATTCTGAGATATCTACGAGGCACCACACAGAAGTGTTTGCACTTTGGTAAGGGAGAGGTGGAAGTGCAAGGGTACGTAGATGCAGACTTCGGCGGCGAAGTTGATCACCGAAGAAGCACCACCGGCTATGTATTCACCGTCGGAACTACAGCTGTTAGTTGGATGTCACAGGTACAGAAGATCGTTACCCTATCCACTACGGAAGCTGAGTATGTTGCAGTGACTGAAGCCAGTAAAGAGATAATATGACTTCAGGGTTTGTTGACAGAGCTGGGATTCAAACAGGAGAAGAATGTTTTACACAGTGATAGTCAGAGTGCGATACACTTGGCGAAGAATTCAGCATTTCATTCTAGAACGAAGCATATTGCGCTTCGGTACCACTTCATCAGATCCCTGTTGGAAGATGACGTGTTGAAACTGGAAAAGATTCCAGGAAGTAAGAATCCAGCAGATATGTTAACAAAGACGGTGCATGTTCAGAAACTGGAGTTGTGCGCAACTTCAGTTGGCCTTTATGCATAGATGATGAGGGCGGAGCCACACAGGAGAGGATCTTGATGAGATAGCCTGCTGGCGTCAGTTTGGTCTCCAAGTTGGAGATTGTTAAATTTGGGGGTGGAAACCAAACCTTCGACGGCGGTGGAGTTCCGACGAGCTCCGACGAGCTCGAGAATGGCGGAGATGACGCAGGCGAAGTCGACGAACGCAACCCTTCGAGCTCTGCGTTCGAACCCCCCTCCTTCGAGCTCTGCGTTCGCACCCACCCCGAACTCTGCGTGCGAACCCGACCTCGGCGTTTTTTGGGTGATGCCGACCTTTGCGTTCGAGTGCTCCCACCTTTGCGTGTGCGGGCCGCTGGCGACAGGCTGTCGCCAGCTCATCCACCTCGCCTATATAAAGGCCCCCTAGGGTTTCACTGCTGCGGTGCTGATTCTTCCCCCTCTCCTCCGATTTCTTCTTCTCTGGCGGCGGCTGCCCTAAAATCGCAGAGGCGATTTTTTCTCCAGCTCTCAACGGGAATTTTGAGGGGAGATTAAAAGAGAGATTAAGAAGAGAGAGAGGAATTAAAGTGGGGTTTATATTGTGGGGTATTTATTCTCAAGTGAGAATTGAAAGGGTTCATACCCTTTGATTATTAACACTGTAGCTACAGTGTTTATTTGAGAAATCTCAGTTTTGAGATATGCTCCTAAATTGTAATTTCTTGTTTGATTAATAAGAAATTATCTGTGTGGCTCCCGATGACGTAGGCAGTTGCCGAACCTCGTTAAATCTTGGTGTACTTTTTCTATACCGCGTTTCTGTTGCATTAGGGGTTTCAGCGTTAAATTCCCAATACCAGGATGTCGCAGTTGTAGAAGGCAGAGAAGTTGGCCTTGACGCGGAGGGCCACCGCCTGGCCCTTTGACGGGCCGGCGGTGTTTTCTATCGTCAGGTCGCGGGCGAGGAATAGATCTCCTTCTACAGCTGCATCGGCCAATGCAACAAGTTGTTTATTAACCGAGATGTTTCGCATGAGGCGCAGCAGTTTGTTTTGCTGCAAACTATAATTAATAAATGCGGCAGTTGCATGGCCAACTTGAGAAGCAACCAATTAATGATCCAGTTAAAATTTTGAACGTAAATCACAATTAATGATCCCCTTAATTAAATAGCCTCACCCCTGACATTGCATGATCCTAATGTCACGTGGATGGTGCCTAGCTAGCGAGCCCAAAGTGTAAAAGGTCAGTTGTTGCTGCTTCCCTATTTGGAGGGGCATATACTACGTACATTAATGAGTAGTATCAACATGAGGTTTGAAGTTTGGGCAAAATGAAGAGGACCACGTTGATGGCGGGACAGGTCGGCGTGGATTGAAGAAGCATGAAAATTGAGGAGAAAAACTGGGTATGGAGGTCCCTAGCTTGGCCTTGCTAGTGGACTGTTATACATGCCAAAAGTTGAGCTGGTGAATTACTGAACTGATCATGTCCTAAAGGATGAAGGCTTTCAGATCTTGGTCTCTTTAAAATATATAAACAAACGTAAGATGTTACATTTTTTGACTAGGTAAGATTCAGTATAGGGAAATGCGTAGTTTTTCTTCTTCTTTTTCATATGAAGTGCTTCAAGTGCAAGAACAATATTTAACTCATGAGTTCGAAAATTGTGGTGAGCATATATAGCCCTTAATTTACATTTTTGACCTTTATATTTTATGCGAAATATGTATTTATCCCCGCGGAAGTTAAATTAATGAACAGGAAACAGCGCTACGTACTAACCCAGGGTTGCGGTCCAGAAGGTGGAGAACTTATCCGCCACGCTCTTGTTCCCACTAATGACCGTCCTCCCCCTCCCCGCCCCCACAAACATCAGATTGACCTTCTTCTTCCCAACAAACACATACTCGTCATACCTCCCCTCCTTTATCTCGATCACATACCTACTCTTACTTTTCTCCGGCGCCGCGTCCACCGCGGCCCCCACCGTCCTAAAATCCCCGCTTCCGTCTGCCGCCACCGTAACGTTGACCTCCACCTCCGCCTGCTCCTCCCCTTCTAACCTCTCCGTCCATTTGGTTGACGGCAGCCTAGAAGCTTGCACCACCGTAGACATTTTTTTAAATTTTTTTTTCAGAAATGACGATGGTGGGGTAGACGGATTATCTTAGACGGAAATTTTTCCGTCTAGGATGCTAAATGCCGCGACGGAAAATATCCGTCTGTATTATTCCGTCTGAAATAATTTATTCTAGACGGAAATTTCCGTCTAGATAGTATTCTAGACGGAAATTTCCGTCTAGAATAACTACTGTAGCTTTCTTTTGCATTTAAAATTCAAAAAAAGGTGGGTCCCACTATTCCAGACGGAAATTTCCGTCTAGGAAGTATTACAGACGGATTTGTCCGTCTAGAATAGTGGGACCCACCTAAAGAAAATAAAAAACCCCCTTTTCCTTTTAATCCTCACGAAATTTTCAGATCTCCCCCCTTCTCTTCGATCCCCTATCCAAAAAATTTCAGATCCTCTTCTCTTCGATCCCCTCACGAAAATTTCAGATCTCCTTCTCTTCGATCTAAGCTAGGGTTTAATCCCTCCGATCCCAGCCCTTCGAACCCCCTCGCTTCCCCTTCGATCTCAGCCACTCTCTCGGGGATCGTCGCCGGCGAGATACCCCGCTGCCGCCGAGAAACCAAGTTCTGACTCAACGTACGCACGCAGGTAACCTCTGTCTCTCCGATCCCCTCTTCCCTTCTCCTCTCTCGTCGAAACCCTAGATCTGAGCTAGGGTTTCGATCTCCCCCTTTCTCCTCTCTCTCCCCGTGTACAACGAAACCCTAGATCTGAGCTAGGCTTTTCTCTTTTGTAGCTTATTTCCTCCTCTCTTCGGGTTGCTCTCCTCAAGCTGCTGCCATTTCTGATTGGGTTCAAGGTATGGCTTCGAAAATTGCTGTTTTTAAATTTTTAAAATTTTTTGTATATTAATCTCTCAAGTAGTCTTTTGACAATTCCATATTAGTTTTGGAGTTGCTCCGAAGTCCTTCAAATATCACAATATATGATATTTGTTTTCTGCTTACTCTTGTGCTGGACATATTTTTGTGATGTGAAAGGGAAAATTGATATGAGACAGATTTAGTGTTGGAAGCTTTGTTCATGAAAAGGCAATTTTGCCTTTGTGAATAGTCCCACATCGGAAAATGAGATGAATAGTAAAGGGTATATAATGGTTCTCTCCTTATTGGGCTTTGAATAGTGTTTTGGGTTTTGTGGGCTTTGCGGTTCTACCACACACGCGCGCGCGCACGCACGCCACGCCGCGCCTCGCCACGCCCGCCCGCACGCCACGCCGCAGCCGCACACCTTTTGCTTCTCAAGCCTTCATTTTTGCACGTTTTACACATTTTGTAACGGCTGCATGCGGGTAACGGAAGCATTAACCGTGCGTAACGGTCCCTTGGATTCAGCGGGGGTTACACCTTTCATCACCTATAAAAGGAGGCTTGGAGCTCATTCAGAAATACACCAACGAAGAGGAAAATCTCTACACTCTCTTCTCTTCTCTACTCTTATACCTCCAAGAAAAAAGATTTCGGCTACATTTACATATTCTATTTTCTGGGCAACTGTTTTTGTCTGAGCATAAGCTCTGTGTCTCACGCCCGAGTGCAGAGGCCGGCCGATTCCGGGGGTTTTTACCGCTAGGGGAGAGAGGACAAATTGCGCCAGGGGATAGACGAGTCCTTAATCTTCTAGAGCAGTGATATCACGACTGCTCCCAATCAGGCCTGAATTTTCTAACTCCTTAATTTGTTTATATTATTATATTCCTGTTTTGACAGCACTCTAGAAGATTAATTATATTCTTCTGTTAAGATAATTAGTTTTTAAAATTAAAAAAAAAATTATTGTTCATCGGGATTACTGTTCACCCGAATTTCATATATTTTAATTACTTGTTGTATTAGTTAATTGTTTTAACTTGTTGCATCTAAATTAGTTAAAAAAATATTATTTCTTTATTGCTTCTGTGCTCAAATTCAGTATCTGTCATAAACAAAAAATCTTTAAGTGAACCGGTTCAAGTTTTCTTGGATTAGTTGGTGTCTAAGGAAAGGTTTAAGGGTTGCGTAAAGCGCTCTGCAAGAAACGAGGTATTTAATCGATCATTGATCAACCTCTAGTACTATCCTTACCTGGCCAAACTACCCGAGTAAAACTTTAATCTTTTCACTTTTAGAGTTTTTGGTTAAGAGCAGGTTTAATTAAGTTTCTGGTCTAGTAATATTGACAAAATTATTTTTAAATCAGATTACATCTACCTAGACTAGTAAACTTGAATTGGACTTATGGCAATTCCTGATCATTCAAAAAGTGTCAAACCTGAGAAGTTTACCGGTGCTAACTATAAACGGTGGGCTAATCAGATGAAATACTGGCTCACTACCTTAGGTCTTTTATCTGCTATTGACATTTCTGAGTCATCTACTAGTGGTTCTCAACCTTTGACTCCTGATCCTGCTCCTTCTACTTCTGGTTCTGGTGCTAGCTCTTTTTCTAGCTCTATGAAACCAGAAGAAATCAACTATCATTGTTGTCATAGGATCCTTAGTGCACTTGCGGACAACCTTTATGACATATATTATGAGTTCAAAAGTGCAAAAGAACTATGGAATGCTCTTGAAGCAGAATATGGCTATGATGATGCCGGAATTCTGCGCTTCACCTCTTCCTCTTTCAATAAGTTCACAATGGTTGATGACAAGCCCATTAATGATCAAATTCATAAATTCCTAGATTTCCTCCGTCATCTCCAATCAAAAGGAAATACTTTTACTGACGATTATAAAGTTTCATGTTTGATTGATAAACTTCCTCCCTCCTGATCTAGATTTGCTGGAGATCTCCGACACAAGCAAGGAGATCTAACTTTAACTGAATCCCTCAAGGCTATTCGTATTGAAGACCAGCATAGGAAAAACTCCAATACCAAGAATGAAACAAAAGCTAAAGTAAACTTAGTAGAGGATAAGCCTAAATCTAAGAATTTCAAACCCAAAGGGAAGAAATTCAAGAAAAACCAACAATCTTTCAACAAACCTTTCAACAAATCTACCTTCAAACCAAATCCCAATTCTTCCAGCCATAAGTCTGATGAGAAGTTCTGCTTTGTCTGTGGTAGAACCAACCACATGGCTCACAACTGTTTCTTTCGGAAGAAGGAACCGGCCAAACCTGCCCCTAAAGGAAATGGATCCAACAAAGTTAATATGATTGAAATGAATCCAACCTCCTTCAGGTTAGCCTCTTCATCTCATCTTGTAAATTCTCTAACTTCTTCCACTGATTGGTATTTGGATTCCGGAGCAAATATCCACGTCTGTAATGACCGCTCTTGGTTTTCAAATTATCAGGAATCACGTGGAGGAAGCATAAGCTTAGCAGATGACTCCACTAAAACAATAATAGGAAGTGGACGTATAGAGCTCACCATGACTTCTGGGAAAGTTCTTCATCTGTAAGGCGTTTATCATGTTCCTTCTCTCCGTCGCAATCTGATTAGTGAATCTCTTCTTCTTAGAGCTGGTTATAGGATTGTAAAAGAATCCAATAAATTTGTGATTACAAAGAGTAATGTTTTCATAGGAAAAGGTTTTATCTGTAATGGCCTTTTTAAACTCAATGTAATCAAATCCAGTTCTAATGAAATTTCTGAGTCTTCTGTTATTCAAATTGTTGAGTCTTGTGATGTTTGGCATGGACGACTTGGACATGTAAATTTCCAAACCTTGCAGAGAATGAGTAAATTAAACCTCATTCCTAAATCTTCTCATAATCTCTCATCTAAATGTGAAATCTGTGTTCAAGGGAAACACACTAAAAAACCCTTCCAGTCTATAACTAGAAACTCTGAACCCCTCGAATTAATTCATAGTGATGTGTGTGACTCTAACCGAGTTCTCACCCGAGGGGGTAGGAGATATTTTGTGACTTTTATAGACGATCACTCCAGATATTGTTACACCTATCTTCTCAAAACTAAAGATGAAGTCTTAGATAGGTTTAAGGTGTTCAAAGCTGAATCTGAGAACCAACTTGACAGGAAGATCAAGATTCTAAGATCTGATCGTGGGGGGGAGTATACCTCAAATCATATGACTGAATATTGCCAAGAATACGGTATTATTCATGAGGTTACTGCTCCTTACACACCACAGTCTAATGGGGTAGCTGAACGAAAGAATAGAACCCTAATGGACATGGTGAACTGTATGTTACTCAGTTCAGGAGCACCTGAAAATCTCTGGGGTGAAGCTCTTCTTTCTGCTTGCTTCATTCTCAATAGGATTCCCCAGAAATATTCCGATACAACTCCTTATGAATATTGGAAGGGGAGATCTCCTAATCTAAATTTCTTCCGGGTTTGGGGTTGCTTGGCTAAAGTAGCTATTCCCGAACCTAAGAAGAGAAAAATTGGTTCTAAGACTGTAGATGCTGCTTTTATTGGATATGCACTTGATAGCAATGTTAACAGATTTTTAGTCATCAAATCTGAAATCAGTGACATATCCAACAATACCATCATTGAAGCAAGAGATGCAGTCTACTTTGAAAACATCTTTCCTTTCAAATCTAAAATCTCAGAAAATCCCAGATCATCCATTCCTTCTGATCTTCCATCTTCCAGTTCTTTTCAACCTCTTGATATTGAACCTCGAAGAAGCAAAAGAGGTAGAATCGAAAAGGATTTTGGAGAAGACTTCCTTACCTTTCTTGTTGAAGGTGATCCAAGCTCATTCCAAGAAGCAATGGATTCACCTGAATCTCCTTTCTGGAAAGAAGCCATTGATAATGAAATTAAATCTATCATGGAAAACCATACTTGGATACTCACCGACTTACCTCCAGGTTGTAAACCTATTGGTTGTAAGTGGATATTCAAGAAGAAACTCAGAGCTGATGGTTCCATAGATAAATTTAAAGCTAGATTAGTAGCTAAAGGCTTTACTCAACAAAAGGGCATTGATTATTTTGATACATATTCTCCTGTAGCCCGAATATCAACTATCCGAGTATTACTAGCCTTTGCTGCTATC